AGCCCGCCGGCTGATGCGCTGACCAGAAGCGAGCTGGCTGGGTGACTCGGGAGCGAAGCTGAGCGGGCGTCGGTGCCCAGGAGGGAGGTCTGGCGGCACAGGGGGAGGGCCTGGGCGATGGGTGTGCTCAGCACTGCTCACTGGGCGCCCTGCCCTCCTCCAGTGCTGAATTCAGGGGCGCTGTGGGCCCGTGCACAGGCGAGCTGTCAGGGGCAGCGTGGTTGCGGGCCTGCCCTTAGGGGCCTGCCCACAGGCCTCCGCGGCGACCAAGGCAAGACCTGCCCACAGGCCTCCTGGGCTCCATAGCGCAGGGCGGCCGCAGCAGTGAGGAGTGGGCACACGGCAGGCTGCGACGCCCGGTGGTCCTGCCTTCTCCTCATGGGGGGACCAGCTGTCTGTCTGCAGGGCCCTGGGAGGTGGTACCCCGGGTGACCTCCGCAGGCGGGCAACACTGGCCTACACTGCCCTCAGGCCACAGAGCGGGGCAATGAGGGGCATCCGTGATACAGGGTAGCGGCCCCCAGCCTTGCTGGCACCGGGTCCAGTTTCGTGGTATACTCTTGGGTCTTCAGAAAAGTCAAGACCCGTTTTTGTGTAGAAAAGCACGCCATGTCTCTTCCCATGACCCAGTCTCTCTCTGTGGACTTGCGCGCGGTGTGGAGTGATTCAGCATGGTTACTGTGCACTGTATCAGTATCGCCCTGTCATGTGTTCTGTCAGAGAGGTTTTTCTGCTACATGATGCACCCACTCACTAGAGAGAGAATGAGACAGAGAGACAGAAAGTGAGAAGTCACCCCCCGGCGGGATGGCCACGCCGCAGTCCCTTCTCCTTCGTTCCCTTCCTGGGCTCCTGGGTGTGTGTGCGCATGCACCCGGCATGAGGTTTAAGCCACTGGGTTCGGATTTGAGCCATCGTTGGCCACATGGAAGTCCAAGACGTAACCAGTAACTTCGCCGGCCGGCTCCTGTACTGTGATGGAGCTTGGAGTCTTTGCACAGCTCCCAGATGCTGGGTTGTGAGTCCTAGTCTGCTGAGTCTCAGCCACCTGGCCAACAGGAGCCGGGCTCCAGGGTGACGAGCTGAGTGGCGGGGAGCGGCTACAAGCCCAGATGGTGCCCGCTCGCCCCCTGCCCCACTCAGCCCCTTAGTGCAAAGACCGGTACCAGTCCAGGCCCAGGGTGGGAACCTGGACGGGGGGACATAGGAGCTCGTGTGGACAGAGTGTTTCCCTTTTTTGATTTTTTGTTTCTATCCTGTGGATTATTTTTTAAGTAAGGATCATTCATTAAGATGTTAGAGGAGTCTTTCTCTGTTTGTTTGTTTGTTTTTTGAGAGGTTTTTACTATAGGGCACGTGCGCTCGCCAGACAGACAGAGAGGGACAGAGAGACAGAAAGCAAGAAATCAACCCCCA